CTAGCGGGCCGAGTTGGCTCGATTTTTTTTTTTTAATCTACATTTAAAAAAAAAATTGTACATTTTATGGGTGTTATAAATTAAAGAAATTATAAGAGTTAAAACCCTCTTCCTTTATCCGGGCTTGGGACCGACTACAATTATCGTAGGTAAAGTTAAAATTGCACACGAATAAAATATTTCATGTACAATTTTTCTTGAAAAAAATTAAAAATTACATATTTTTTTGAAACTAAACAATTTAAAAACTTACAATATCTTATACTTTAACTTTTAATCTGCTGTAACTCTTCGGCCATTATACTATCAACTTGTTCTTGAAGACGTAATTCCGCACATTCTCGGTCCTTCAAACATATTAAAGCCTCCAATATATCTTCTTTTAATTTTGATCGTTCTTCACATGAAACTCGACCACTTAAACTAAATGTAGCCTCCGATGCTACTGTAGACACAGGCGATGTTAGTAGATCGCGAGCAATTTTTGATACAATTGAATACTGCCTTTCGTTACATCTCCACCATGATAAAAGACTAAATTCCTATAATTCTTGTTATTGTAACATACTACGAACGTCCGCGCACATATACTTAGCTAACTCGGAGGAAATTTCAAGATTTGTACCACTAACATCTATTACTCTAGATATTGACGAACTAGAACTAAATGATGGAACACTAGTATTGGTCTCTAAATAACTCCATGTATTATCTGCATTTGTTGAAACGTTTCTTGAAAAAGAATTTTGGAATGTAGAACTACACTGACGTTCTTTTTCAGCGTAATGGTTATACATTTCACATAATATTGATTCTATATGCACATGTGATAATTGTACATTTATAAAATTTGAAATCCCTTTTATAGTAGCTTTTGTGTCAGTTAAATTAAGTCGAGTGGCCATCACCGAAGCTAATAAAAATAAAGAGGGTATCTATTCCTAATATTTAAGAAATTTTGATTCCATAGAATAAACTACATCAACAAAAATTGACAAACTCCTATATTTTTGAAATACTTGTGCAAAATAGAAAAAAATATTGTAAAACAAGTGAAGATGTAGGGTAATAAACACCGCAACATTCCTTTGTGGTATCGAAAAAAAGTTTTAAAAATTTTTTCACGACAAATGCAAGATTCCATTCCCAATCTTCCAAATTATGTTCGTATCCATATGTATGCCTACCATTATAATACATCGAAATAACTTTATCATAATTTTCATACGAGTGTAACATAAGATATGTAAAATTCCATATATGTAATACATCAGTGACAAATGATTTCTCTTCTAAACCATACTTTACATATAACTGTTAAATGCTTGCTTTCTTGCCGATGATATAGTAATAAAATTAATTGTTTGCCTAATTTTATCTTAACGGTAATTTTATATGTTCTAATCCATCTTTTACAATCAAATTAATAATGTGGCTCGCCACCGCTACCGCCTTTGCCCTCCTCCAATTACTATACTCCTGCCAAACCACCTCTCAAACCACCAGATAACCATACGACTAGAAAGTCCTCATTGCCCTCTACAAATTGAATCCCTAAATCAACATCAAAACTGAGCTCATAAAATCATTTTGCATCCGAAGGTTTTTTATTCATTTGATGTTGATTTAGGGATTCAATTTGCAGTGGGCAGTGAGGGCTTTCTAGTGGTATGGTTGTCTGGTGGAGTGCAGAATGCTTTCATTACATGATATTGTCCAGAATAGCCGTGACATATTCACAACACCCGCAACTTCATCAACACTTAAATACACAAGGTCTTTAATTAAAATAACATTGTGAATTGAGTAATAACATGTGGCGACGATATTTCAAACTGAATAGAAACACATATTTGTGTACGCCAATGAGTTACAATTTGGCTTGCCTAGCCATTTTTTAAACGATCTGGCTGGTGCAATTGACCGAGCTGAGCACGAGGGTCGACAAAGCTGGCTCGACCAATTAACACCCTTATTTTAGGTTAGTATTTTTTTGAGACTATCCTCCTTTCTTATTTTTAATATCTTCAAAGTTTTTGATTTTAACCAACCTCTTTATATGTCTAATTCATCGAATTAAATCGTGCTATAGTATATGTGACCTTTGACGAGTGACAACGTTGTACCATTCCCACTCATGGTCTAATGTCCAAGGCAGATGAATGTGCAAAATGGACGTATATGCTAAATTATTCTTTTCATTCTAATGTTTAGCGATGATCCTTTGAGATTTTATACTGGTTGGAGATACGATTTGATTAGATATGACCACTTGAAAACATAGTCTCGTTAGTTTCAAGTTGATCCGTCGGACATGGGCCAAGATTCGAGTCGCTTGATATTTTTGAGTTGGGCCAAAAGTGATGTCTCGTAAAGTGAATATATTCGTGTGCCTTATATATATTGAACCATTTGGAGAGTGGAATAATAGAAATAGCTAGAGTATTACATTCTGATCAAATAGTTATGGAAGGTTCACGAAGCAAAGCATCTCATTAACATATTTCAATTTCTTAAAACACGACAATGACCTTTTCTTAAATCTTTACGTTATTACAACTTTGTTGAGTACAAATTAGTCGATAAAATTAATTGAAACTCTTCTAGTGTAATGTGCTCAAGTTGACAATTATATTAAATTTTAGTTCTTTTATTTAAAGAAATTACTATTGTTATTTTCAACTTACGAAATGTAACTCTAGAACATGTTAGGTACATCAGAATTTATGAAAAAAAACGTAAAAATGAAAGTAATAAAATTCTTCAATATAATAGATCGTTCTTAAACTTATAGTATAGATTGATTTTATTTAAAATTTAAATCGTGTTTCGCCCTTTGGTAATTATTATTTAAGTTATTTGAAATATATAAACAAATTAATAAAATAGTTTATTAATCTGTTTGCAAGGTTATTAGGGACATGTTCGGTAGAGATTAAAATTGAAAAATTAACAGTTATTGTTGACTTTTATTAGACGAGTGAAACCCAATAACGACTATATTTTCAATTTTAATTGAATTTTAAGTTTAGTCAAACATGGTCTAAAACTAAAACTTGGAAAAAAGGTTATATTTATAGTAACTTATACTTATTTTTTGATTATGATTTAAACAACTAGAATATTATTTAATAAGTATTATGCTTAATTAGTTGAAAATAATCAGGAGCATTTAGGGGTGACAAACGGGCGGATCCACTCATAGCTGCTCATCTCGACTCGATCCATGGACTTCTTGGACTCCTATTGAGACAGTCATGTGCTGAGTGGAGATTGGGTGTCTAAGGATCGAACTAGCTCGACTCGATCCACTGCCACTTCTACGGATATCACTAAATTGAAGCTTATTATGTAAGTTTAAAAGTAGCTTGTACGGTTGCATATATCTCTCCATTTTCTTTAGATAAAAATCAAAATTTTCAGTAAATTTTAATAAAAAATTGATAAAATATTTAAATGAACAGTTGTAAATTTCATAAAATTTATAACTAAAATTAGTATTGACTTTAGCTTAAAGTTTAGTTAAATCAAATCATGCATAGTACCAACTAAATCAAAATAGTCAACTTTCAAACAAATAAAGGATTGTTTTGATTTGAAATAGACCCGTAAAGTTAATTACTCAAGAATACATAAATTTGTAGATATTATTTTTGAAATAAATGTGAGATATTAAGAATTAAATTTTAATTTTAATTTAAATCAAAATTAATCATTGATTTAAATAATGTATTTCATGGAATTTATAACTTTTCAATCACACATTTTACAATTTTTTTTTTTATCAAAATCTTTTAAAAATCAGATTTTAATATTCACCAAACCAAACATTGGCTAATTGTATATTCTCTTGTGAATTTGATTAAAGTGCTTTAACACATTAGGGGCCCGTTCCACATAATTTTTTCTTTACTTTTTGAAGAATTTTTGAAGAAATCTACTTTTTTTATTTGTTTGAAAACTAATTTGTAAAATAACTTTAGCCACTGTTTGATCCACATTATTTTTTTCATTTTCATTCTTATACTCATTTTTAACCACACATTCTTCAATAAAATAATATTTTCCATTATATCAATAATTTTTTCTTATTTTTCAATTACATATTCTCTATCACATCACTTCAAAAAAATACATTCTCTCATTTTAATGTGCATCTCCAAATCTCTCAAAAAAATGCATTCTCTCATTCTATATCATTGGTACTTTTAGAGAAAATTATATTGGATCAACCTCTTTTAAAAGCTATTCTAATTCGAAGAAGTGCCCCAGGGCACATTTTCAAGTGATAAAAGAGGAAGGTGGAAAAACTTCAACTTTGGTTGAGGTTGTCGCTTCAAGGGTTCGAATATTGAAATATGGGTTTGGCCCTTGGGTAAGTGCAAGTGTACAGTTAAGGGATATAATCCCATATCGAATAAAGATGTTGACACAGACCGATTAATAAAGATCTTGGGCTACTCCTCTTAATAAGGTTGACATTTTAAGATGGACCCCCAAATCTTAACAAACAATCTTTCATCATGTACCCTTGAAGGCATAACTTGCGATTTACCTCATTCACTAAGGTTCATAGCAGGTGGGGGTCGTCAAGGATGCGGCTCATATATATATATTTTTTTATATTCTAATTCAAAGAAGTAATTCAAATAAATTCAAAAATAACTGTTGAATCTCAAAAACTATATTGTCAAAAGTGATGCCAAACTTGCCCCCAAATAGCTTTTATTTTTGTAAAACTTCGTAATCAAAGAAAGCGTGGGTTTCCTTACAAACATAGGCAAAGTGCATAGGAAGGAAAAGATATTTCGCCCAGAGTTTGAATCATCGACACGTGCAAAGCTTGCACGCGAGACATCAAGAACTTTCCTTAATCCAATTTTCCTTCGTCGTCTCATTTATAAGCACTCTTCGTCCTCCTCCCTTGCCAAGTAACTCAAATTCCAAACTGCGATCAGATTTTCACAAAAATATTTATTGGGTTTATTCTTGTGTGAAAGATGTGGAATCAAGCATACCGGAAGGATGACGAGGAGTCGGGTCACCGGCCGTTGTATCCGATGATGCTGGAGAGACCGGAACTCCGGTGGTCGTTTATTCGGAAAGTATATACCATAGTGACTTTTCAATTGCTTCTCACAATTGCTGCTGCATCTGTTGTCGTTACCGTTCGTCCAGTGTCGGTTTTCTTTACCACCACTGGGGCGGGTTTGGCCGTGTATATTGTTCTAATCATCACCCCCTTTATTGGTACGATTATTATCTTCTCCTGCAATTGATTGTTTCAAATATTTTTGATATATGGATTGAATTGGTTTTATTGGTTAATTTTTTTTTTTTGTGTGTGATTGCAGTTTTGTGCCCCCTGTATTACTACCACCAGAAGCATCCGGTGAATTATTTCTTGCTTGGATTGTTCACCGTTTCTCTTGCTTTTGTTGTGGGCTTGACTTGTGCATTCACCAGTGGTAAATGATTATGGTTTTCATTTTTTAAAAATTTGGTATTGAGATGGGGGTTTTGGATAGAGTTTTCATCTTGTTGTTATAGTTATGAATTGTTGACTGGAGTACGAGTTGCTAAGAAATTCAAGAAATTGAAAGCCATCTCTTATGGGAAATGGTCTTTTTATTATGAAATGTGCATATTATGACGGAGAGTATAGTAAATCCTCTTATAATTCTCTTGATTTTCAAAAGAGTATTTAATTTAACTTCCATTTCAAGAGCCTCTAAAGCGATGAAGAAAATAGGTTATTGAAAAAAAAAATGATAATAATGTTTGGACAATCACAGAGAAATCATGAACTTGAATGAGAGACGTTTCTGTAACGTGCACCAATGAGTAGCTTGTCTCTGGGGGTGCTCTCATATCCTGTATCTTATGTACTAAGTTCAGATAAAGTATTGAATGAGAGGGAAGAGTTAAGGAGCGTGTAGAAAGATTTTGTTAGGGCACTCTTTAGTGTTTCATCGTCTGCGTATAAGAATTTGGTTGATCTACATAATACTGAGAATTTGTTCATGATAATTATTTACTTGTATATAGGTGAGGCATCTTATGAAATTTGCCGACTTGACATTATGTGAATTTAAATACTCAGTATAAGATCTTAGGTCTAATGGTAAAAGATTTGCAAAGACTGACATTGTATATAAACTGGCGAGGTTGTTTGTGGTCAAGGATTTCTGTAAGACGTTACTGTGCATTAGTTTTCGAACAGAATCTTTTGCCTTGCTCTCAAGCTTCATACTCATTGCCTCTTAATAAGATTTTAGCGTAGTCTACTTACATTATGTGTGGCTTGAAATTGGTGTCAGGGAAAGTTATTCTGGAGTCAGTTATCTTAACAGCTGCGGTGGTGGTTAGTCTCACTTTATACACGTTTTGGGCTGCTAAGAGAGGTCACGATTTCAATTTTCTAGGGCCATTTTTGTTTGGAGCTCTTGTTGTACTTGTGCTGTTCGCGCTGATTCAGGTTTGTGGATACACATTTCCACGTGTTTTGGATCCATCTTCAATTATCAAGTTCTTTTGACCCTCTAATCGGGTGCTGATTATCTTGTCTTAATATTTCAGATTCTGTTTCCCCTGGGGAGAATATCTGTGATGATTTACGGCTGTCTTGCATCAATAATATTCTGCGGTTACATCATTTATGACACTGATAATCTGATCAAGCGATACACCTATGATGAATACATTTGGGCTGCAGTCGCACTGTATCTAGATATCATCAACCTCTTCCTTTCTCTGTTGACGGTTTTCAGAGCTGCCGATAGTTAGAGAATTGATAATGATCCCAAATGTTGATATGTTTTTGTGTTTCATAACGTGCCAACTTTTATGAATATTGTGACGCAGAATAAGTTAGGAAATGAAGTAAATATTGCTTAGTTTATACTGTCTTGAGATTCTATCCAATTGTATTTCCTCCTCTGTTAATGATATATAAATTTGCAAACTGTGTACACTGACAACACACCGCTTTCCTCCCTAGTTGCTTTTACGATTCTCTCTCTCTCTCTCTCTCTCTGGAATTGAAGTATGGCTATGTATTTAAACTTTAAAAAGAGTATGATGACTGGGAAATATGGCATGAAAACTGTGTACACTGACAACACACCGCCCTCCTCCCTAGTTGCTTTTACGATTCTCTCTCTCTCTCTCTGGAATTGAAGTATGGCTATGTATTTAAACTTTAAAAAGAGTATGGTGACTGGGAAATATGGCATTGCGTATGTTGTGATTGTTATAAAATTTGTGTGGAATGCGAACTCCAGTGTTCGTGGTCATGAATGTGTTTATCATCCTGTCAATGGTCGTCCCCAGTCGATTTAGTTACCTTCCCTACTCGAAAGTGCCGAATGTTGATTTTAGAATCATATGGTCACGTTCCAGGTTTCTTTCTGAGCTATGGGGTGTTCCCAATGCTATACTTGTCTTATTACAGCAGGATGACTTTTATCCATGTGCATTTTCCAAAATAAATTGCATTGAGAACATCATTCTCGAGTGAGCCGAACTATACTGGTTATGTACCCTGTTGCGGAATATCAAACAGAAGTTCGCTACACTGATACTCATTTTTAAGGCAGTAGTCTGTTTGTAAAATGGTCTTCAGCCGAGTTCTTGAACCTAGAGGTTTAAGAACAGGTTCAAGTTCCGGCAAGTCCTTCCAGGCCAGGTTAGCTTAGCTTAGCTGGCGGAGTCTGTCCGTGTCTTTATCTGAGAGAACGGAAAAGATATACTTTATTTTAATGAAAAGATAGCAAAAGGCTCAGCAAAGAGGTCGTAGAGCATTGGCCATCCACAAAATGCAGTGTGAATATGCCTACTGTAATCTTTTCAAAGAAATCAGAACCAAAGTTATAATACAGAAAAGAAAAGAAGTTAGAGAGAGGGTGCAGGCCTCGTTCACTTGGACAGCAGTTGGCGAGAGCATATGAACATGGTTTATTTCAAGGCACTGCCAGTAAACTTTCCCCAACCGAGTGAGCAGCAGATTATCGTGCTGATTGCAAAAAGACCAATTTGCTACAATACACGGCTCAGAGGAATTCTATATTTTTATCCATAATATAAATTGGCATATTTGACTGCTGTGCATAAGCCAAAACGAGTCATGTGCATTGTGGGCCAATCTTTGATACCATTTCATCCCGTGACACTTGGATTTTTCTTCTACACGCTAACATGATTCTATTAACCAACGCAGATAAGCAATACTTATCTTATTCTTAAAGTGATTTCAAAATTCTGGTTCTACAATTATGATAAATATGACTGACTTCATTATATCGATTGTTTAAGTTTTGGTCTGCAAGTTTCCAAAAAATTCATCTTTTAATGAATTTTGAGCCAAAAAATGGCCAAAGTTCCTGCATTCTTGATTGCTATTCTAGTGTTGTATTGCTGGGAGGCTATAGCAAATGCAGAATACACAATCTATAAAGATCCTAACCGGCCATTGAATCGCAGAATCAAGGACCTGATGAGCAGGATGAGCTTAGAAGAAAAAATAGGCCAAATGACTCAAATCGAACGGTCCGTGGCATCAGCTGAGGTCATGAAGAAATACTATATAGGTATCTATCTACAAATACAACGTTTTTCTGTAGTTCAACTCATAGTTTATGGGCATAAGTCTGTTTTTGAATTGATACCAGATGAGATTTCGCTGAAGTTTATATTTGGACTTCAAGTAGTTTTTGGTTGTTGGAACAGGCAGTGTGTTGAGTGGTGGAGGTAGCGTTCCAGCTCAACGAGCCTCTCCTGAGATGTGGGTCGACATGGTGAATGAATTCCAGAAGGGTTCTTTATCGACCCGCCTTGGAATACCAATGATATATGGGATTGATGCAATTCATGGACACAACAATGCCTATAATGCTACAATTTTTCCCCACAATATTGGCCTTGGAGCTACAAGGCAAGTTGAGATGCAGTTATATACTGATTTTATTAGTTCGCCTTAATATTCCTATGATGCATCAGTATTTTTAGTGGCCGTTTAATGTGAATAACACATCGACCCTGTTTAGTTTAGATAAAAATCTGATATTTATTAGTAGATTTTGATAAAATTTGATGAAATGAGTGGTTGAAAAGTTGACAAAAATAACGAGTTTCATAATCTAATGGCTCGTTTTCTTGATATTCTCCCGATTGTTCCATGAAATGTGTGGTTGAAAATGAGTTTTTGAAGAAAAATGTGTTGAAGGAAACGGAGACCAAACAGGGGCATAGTCAAAATACCGACGGTCTATTTTGCTTGTTTTCTGATTGTTTTTATTGTGTTCATATTTTCTGTTTGCAGTAGGGATTAGTGTTCAACCCATATCATTATTAGTTTATACGAATATCTTTTCATTTGAATAGGGATCCCCAACTAGTGAAGAAGATTGGAGCTGCAACTGCTCTTGAAATCAGAGCAACAGGCATTCCTTATACTTTTGCACCTTGCATTGCAGTAATTAGTCTCATCTGAATGTTTATAATATAATCTGCAACTTCGCTAAAATAAATTGCTATTATTAATTAAAAATTGATCGATTAATAGGTATGTAGAGATCCAAGATGGGGCCGTTGCTACGAAAGTTATAGTGAAGATCCAAAGGTAGTTCAAGCAATGACTGAGATGGTACCAGGGTTACAAGGAGATATACCTGCTAATTTTCAAAAAGGCGTTCCTTACGTTGATGGAAAGTAAGTTTTCGATGATGTAAATCTTTCATTTTAGTGATTTTTTTTGTACTATATCTGTCCCATTCACGTATTTCTGGAATATTTAGATTTTGTATGAGGACAAACACTACATACAAGAATGACCTCAACCAATAATTCTTTGCAATATTTTTCAATGAACTTTTTGAATTTTGATATCTTTGGACCTAATCAAGATCTGTCACAATGTGCCGGCCTAGACCGTGGGTTGGACCCCTCTATAGCCGAGTCGTGCTCATGGCCGACACCCGAATGGCAAAGAATAGCTTGGCGCGATTACACTTCTAACCTAATCTAACACTTGTCTTGCCCTTATTGCTTGAGTAAATATATTTGACTTGTATTTGACACAGAGAAAAGGTTGCAGCATGTGCAAAGCACTACGTGGGTGATGGTGGTACAACCAACGGCATCAATGCGAACAACACATTGACAAGCAGACACGAACTACTTAGTATCCATATGCCACCCTACTACAATTCCATCATTAAGGGCGTGTCAACCGTCATGGTCTCATACTCGAGCTGGAATGGAGTCAAAATGCATGCTAATCGTGATCTTGTCACTGGTTTTCTTAAGAAGACACTACGTTTCAGAGTAAACCTAATTTTCGATATATATATCTGATTGATTGAATAAAGACATTGAGGTCAATTTTTGATTCGGGTTGTGTTGTCGCAGGGATTTGTTATATCTGATATGGAGGGCATTGACACAATGACTTCACCACCTCATGCAAACTATACCTATTCAATTCTAGCCGGAGTTGGTGCTGGAATCGACATGGTTTATTCGCTTTTATAACTCGAAACTTTATATCTTTATGTTTGGTATGAAGTATTAAACATGAGCAAAATTGCAGATAATGGTTCCATTCAATTACACAGAATTCATTGATGGTCTAACCATGTTGGTGAAAAATAATATCATACCCATGACCAGAATTGATGATGCAGTGAAGAGGATTTTAAGAGTCAAATTCATTATGGGTCTATTTGAGAACCCATTGGCTGATTATAGCATGGCTAAGTACCTAGGATGTCAGGTCAGTCGTAAACTTATTCAAAACCCCTTGTGTTATGGTGAAGTTTAATTAGTCCATCAACTTGTGTAATTTTAACAGGAGCATAGAGAATTAGCAAGAGAAGCAGTGAGAAAATCACTTGTTTTGCTAAAAAATGGTGAATTGGCCGATGAGGAGTTGATACCACTTCCGAGAAAGGCGTCGAAGATACTTGTGGCGGGAACTCACGCGGACAATATTGGTAATCAATGTGGCGGGTGGACGATTCAATGGCAAGGACAAAGCGGTAACATTACACACGGTAATATAAGTATTTGTAACTATATAAATAGGGTTGTCTCGATTATATTAAGTTCATAGCTTCTAACATGATATTTTCAAACCCTCGTCTATTGTAGAATCCTAAATGTCTTTAGCCATGTACTTTCAGGTACAACAATCCTTACTGCCGTAAAGAATACTGTCGACCCTAAAACAAAAGTCGTGTTCAGTGAAAATCCAGATACTGGATATGTTAAGTCCAACAACTTCTCGTACGCCATTGTCGTGGTGGGTGAACCACCGTATGCAGAGACAAACGGCGATAACTTAAACTTGACAATTCCTGATCCAGGCCCGAGTATCATTACAAATGTGTGTGGCTCAGTGAAGTGTGTCGTCGTTCTTATAACAGGCCGTCCAGTCGTCATTCAACCATACCTTGCTCAAATTGATGCTCTGGTAGCTGCTTGGCTTCCAGGAACTGAAGGTCAAGGTGTTGCTGATGTTTTATTTGGCGACTATGGTTTTACAGGAAAGCTTCCACATACATGGTTCGAGGATGTTGATCAGCTTCCAATTAATGTTGGAGATTTGCATTATGATCCATTATTCCCATTTGGATATGGATTAACCACAGAACCCT